ACCACTACTATTACTACTACTACTACTACTACTACTACTACTTCTTCTACTTCTACTACTACTACTACAAATCCTCCTACTACTACTACTACCGCTACGATCACCACTACTACTACTACTACTACTACTACTACTACTACTACTACTACTACTACTACTACTACTCCTACTCCTACTACGACTACTACTACTAGTACTACTACTACTACTACTACGGCTACTACTACCGCTACCACGACGGCTACTACTACTATTACTAATACGCCTTCTTCTACTACGACTACTAGTACTACTACTACTACTACTACTACTACTACTACTACTACTACTACTACTACCACTACTCCTGCGAATACCACTACTACTACTACGACTGCTGCTACTACTACTACTACTACTACTACTACTACTACTAGTACTACTACTACTACTACTACTACTACTACGACTACGACTACTACTACAATTACTACTACTACTACTACTACTACTACTACTACTACTACTACGACTACTACGCTTATTCTTGCTACTACTACTGCAGCTACTACTACTAGTGCTACTACAACCACGGCTACGACGACTACGACTACTACGACGACGACGACGACGACGACGACGACTACTACTACTACTACTACTACTGCTACTACTACTACTACTACTACTACTAGTACAACTACTACTACTGCTACTACTACTACTACTACTACTACTACTACTACTACTACTACGACTCCTACGACTCCTACTACTCCTACTCCTACTCTTACTCCTAATCCTACCCTACTCCTACTACTACTACTACTACTACTACTACTACTACTACTACTACTACTACTACTACTACTACTACTACTACTACTACTACTACTACTACTACGACTACTACTACTACTACTACTACTACTACTACTACTACTACTACTACTACTGCTACTGCTACTGCTACTACTGCTGCTACTACTACTACTACTACTACTACTACTACTACTACTACTACTACTACTACTACTACTACTACTACTACTACTACTACTACTACTCCTACTCCTACTCCTGCTCCTGCTCCTGCTCCTGCTACTACTGCTACTACTACTACTACTACTACTACTACTACTACTACTACTACTACTACTACTACTACTACTACCACTACTACTACCACTGCTTTACTGACGACGCACCCGAGAGGCGAACCTGTGGCGTCCAAGCGCTCCACCGCACTGGCGCGCCGCGCCAAGCGCGACGCCGCCTCGCTGCGCCGAAACCTTGAGGGGTCCGTCCAGGCAGGGGAAAAGGCCCCCGTCCCGGAGGAAAGAGGGAGAGGAGCAAAGGACGGGGGCCCCCAGAGGGCGGCACTAGGACCGCCGAAGGGAAAGGGGGGAGGGGCCGACTTGGAGCAGGAGGGGGGGGCGGTGTTCTAGCGCCGACAGGCAGCAAACTGCGACTGTCCTCCCGCGCGCAACCGCCCATATGGCAGCAGCGCCGCCGCCCACCCACCAACCGCCACCGATCAGGTGGGCGGATGCGAGAGGGGGGGCCAGCTTCCGCTCGGCAAGGCAGTCCATCAGTCGATGGGCAGCCTGCGAGCGCCCCCCACCCAAGGTTATGAAAGATGGCCTCGGAACTGAAGGATCAAAGGCCAACTGGGGTGGGGGGGGTGGGGGTCAAATTAAGCCTGAGATACGTCGCGTCGCTGGCCGCGTCGGCCCTGTCCTCGCATGTCGACGAGGTGGGCCGCGCGCGCCAGCGCCGCGAAACGCTGCAGGCCCAGCGGCGGGCGGTCCGCGCCCTGGGTCTGGCTCCCATGCGCTGTTAGCCGCTCCGCTGCGCCCCAGGCGGGCGTCGCTCCTGTTGGCCATCGACCAGTCTCATCATCTTGAAGTTCCTGTCGATCAAGTCCTGGATCCCGGGCACGCGCTGCCATCTGAACCTCCCCGACTCTCTCGGGAGGTGAAGCTGGCGCGCCATGCCGCGCGAGTCTGCGCACTCCGCCAAGTCGGTCGCAAGGCGCATGTCCTCGTCGTCTTTCGCGATAGTCGCAGCCCGCATGAGCGTCGGTCTTCGCGGATTCCACAAGTCACCCTCATGCCTGCATTCTGCTGCCTCGGCCCAAGTCAAGGCACTCGGCAGAAAGACTATGCTGTCGAAGTGTTCCGCCACATGTTGCCAGTGGCCCCGTCGGATTGTTCCTGGACTCAGTCCCATGTCCTCGTCTTCAACCGGTGTCATCATCAGCGTTCTGCGGCCGCAATTGGCCTGCTCCTGGATCTCGACCCTGATTCTGCTCCGTGCGGTCCCATCGCCGTCTGTCATCCATGGTGACGTGCGCCCACTAATTTCTGTCGTTCTGATGGTCGTTGTCGGCGTTTCTCGCCGCGGGGCTCGTCGCGTGCGTCCGTGGGTGCCGATGGCGCCGTTTGTCGTCTCGCGTTGGCGATCGTCACTGGGGGGACTGGTGGCCCGCCGATGTGCGGTTGTCGGTGGTCCGCTGCTGGTCTTGTGTTCGCTCGAGCTGGTCGTGAGGCATTGTCTTCGCGGTATCCCAGGCACATGAGCTCTTTGATCTGCTGTCCTGGACACTACGCGGGTCCCGTCCCCCTCAGCCCGTGGTTGATCCTCAGCCTCCTCCTCCTCCTCCTCCTCCTCCTCCTCCTCCTCCTCGTCCTCCTCCTCCTCCGCCTGCGCCTCCGCCTCCGCCTTCGCCTCCACCACCGCATCCGGCTCTGCCTCCGCCTCCGCCTCCTCCTCCGCCCCCTCCTCAGCCTCCGCCTCCACCTCCTCCACCCCCGCCTGCACTTCCGCCTCCGACTCCGCCCCCGCCTCCACCTCCTTCTCCTCCTCCATATCCTGCTCGTCCTCTTCCTCCTCCTCCTCCTCCTCCTCCTCTTCCTCCTCCTTCTCTTCCTCCTCCTCCCACACCCTCTCCCTCTCCTTCTCCTCGTCCTCCTCCTCCTACTCCGCCTACTCCACCTCCCTCCCCTCCTCCTCCTCTTCCACCACCTCCTCCTCCTCCTACTCCTTCACCTCCTCCTCCTCCTCCTCCAACTCCTCCTCCTCCTCCTCCTCCTCCTCCTCCTCCTCCCCTCATCTGCCTCCTCCTCCTCCTGCTTCTCCTCCTCCTCCCCACTCCGCCTCCACATCCGCCTCCAATTCCTCCTGCTGCTCCTCCTCCTCCTCCTGATCCTCCTGCTCCTCCTGCTCCTCCTACTCCTGCTCCTCCTCCTCCTCCTGACCCTCCTCCTCCCTCCTCCTGACCCTCCTCCTCCTGCTCCTCCTGCTCCTCCTCCTCCCCACCTTCTTCTCCCTCCTCCTGACCTTCCTCCTCCTCCTCCTCCTGCTCCTCCTGCTCCTCCTCCTCCTCCTCCTCCTCCTCTCCTCCTCCTCCTCCTCCTCCTCCCTCCTCCTCCTCCTCCTCCTCCTCTTCCTCTTCATATTCCTCTTCCTCCTCCTCCTCCTCCGCCTCCTCCTCTTCCTCTTCTTCCTCGTATTCCTCGTATGCCTCTTCTTCCTCCTCCTCCTACTCCCCCTCCATTCCCGCTCCTTCTATATAACTCTTCCCTGTCGCACCCCGAGCCCAGCTTTTAGGATAGGCTGGGCGTTTCGCCTGAGACTTCCTCACCATATATGACTCCGGAACTCACAACAACAAAGACAACAGCTTCACATATGGATGGCGGGTTGTTTTCGAAATGTGGCTCTCGCCTTAGCGCCGCGCACATTCGTTTTCAAGATCCGCAAGGGCTTCATGGATTGAGAGCGGGTCGTTTTCAAACTATGGTTCTCGCCTGAGCACTTCGCACTTTCGTTTTAAACATTTGCAAGGGTTTCACGGATCGAGGGCGGGTCGCTTTCAAAATGTGGTTCTCATCGTAACGCCGCGTACATTCGTTGTAAAACTGTTAGAGAGCTTCACGGATTGAGGGAAGTTCCTTTTCAAAATGTGGCTCTCGCCCTGGCGCCGCACACGTTCTTTGCTTAAACGTTGCAAGAGTTTCACGGACTTCGATACTGAACGTACCAAGAATGGTGTTCTGGAAGGATTGAGGACTTTGCGGGTGCAACAGTTATGTTGATTCGCGATTTGGAGATCCAAACAATGGCGTTATGGCACGATTGCGGATCGCCAAAACGCAGCAGACAGGCGGATACGTCGCGTTGAAATCCCGAGACCAATATTTTGGCATGCTTCAGGATCTTCAAACGGTTGTCTTTCAAACGAGGCAGTTCCCTCAATGGAAATGAACCGTTGTAGGGGCCTATGAAGAGGGAGCTTGGAGGAAGGGTTGACTCCAACATCGTTGATCACTCTTGAGTTTACACTGATCATCCTCCTCCTCCTCCTGCTCCCCTCCTCCTCCTCCCCCTCCTCCCTCGGCCCTTCTCCCCGTCCTCCTCCTCCTCCTCCTCCTCATTCGCCTCCTTCGCCTCCTCCTCCTCCTCCTCCTCCTCCTCCTCCTCCTCCCTCCCCCTCCTCCTCCTCGAGGGCGAGGAAGCCCCCCCCTCGTAGGGCGCGGGCGGCAGGCGTTCGGTCGAGCAACGCGTGCCTTGGCGGGCGCCGCGGCTGGCGCTGGAGGCAGCTCCTCCTCCTCCTCCTCCTCCTCCTCCTGCTCCCCCTCCTCCTCCTGCTCCTCCTCCTCCTCCTCCTCCTCCTCCTCCTCCTCCAGCTCCTCCAGCTCCTCCAGCTCGTCGTCCTCCTCCTCCTCGTCCTCTTCCTCCTCCTCCTCCTCCTCCTCCCCCTCCTCCTGGGCAGCCGCGCTCGAGTACTTTGGTGGCAACATGCGAGCCCAACCCCCGCCAACCATCGATTCTCCTGAATCGATGGGAGGCGGGGATGGGGTTCAAACTCTTCGCCGCGTGCTCGACGAACTCCGCACCCTACCCCCGCCGCCCCCTCGAGTTGCCTGGATCGTCGATCTGCGAAGGCTGCGTGCGGGGTTCGCCGCCGAGTCGCACCGTGCTGCCGCCGAGTCGCACCGGGCTCGTCCCCAGAGCTC